AAGGGACACCATTTTACTAGGCCACTGTATTTAATGGGACTTGAGCATTCGTGAATTTCTATCCATAGGAAGTCCTGGAACCAAACTTCATAGTTTACAGGTTTCCGCTGTATATTAGGAAACTTAAAATGAAATTCACGTTGATGGCATGGTTTGAGTGTTGGCCTGGGAGTCCAGGAGATCAGGGTTTGAATCCCTGCTTGGCCATAGAAACCTACCCTGGGGAAGTCACACTTTCTCAGCCTCAGAGGGTAGCCATGGCAAACCACACACACATACACACACCAGAACAAATCTTGCTAAGAAGAGCCTGTAATAAGTTTGCCTTTGTTGTTGTTGTGTGCCTTCAATTCATTTCTGATTTATCATGGGGTTTTCTTGGCAAGTTTCTTCTGAAAGGGTTTGCCCTTGCCATCCTCTGAGGATGAGAGAGTGTGACTTTTCCAAAGTCACCCAGTGGGTTTCCACGGGGATTCAAAATTGGATCTCCAGAGTCATAATCCAATGCTCAGACCCATACAACATGCCAGCTTTAGGGTCCCCATAGATCAGAAACAACAGGGCTCAGTGCTATGCAATTCTGGGATTTGTAGTTCTTGTGGCTCCACAGCTCTCTGGCAGGGAAGGCTAAGTGCTTTGCAAAACTACAGTTCCCAGAATGCCATAGCATTGAGCCAGGGCAGTTAAAGCGGTGCCAAAGTGGATTATTCCTCCAGTGTGGATGCAACCATTATAGGCTGGAAACGACTTTCGAAGGCACACAACCGCAACACATCTTGCAATTTGTTTTTGCAACTTGCAAAACTTGTAGCTTGTTTCTGCAACTTGCAAAACTTTCAATTTGTTTTTGCAACTCTTTCTTGCTCTTGTCTCCTTGCAGCAAGACACAAAGGGCGATTACCAGAGGGCACTCCTGAACCTTTGTGGCGGCGAAGACTGAGAACTGGGATGCAGTTGGAGAAAAAGGAAATGAAATGAAACATTCCCTCCGTGAAATGTGCATTATTATTATCCTTCCCCCCCCCTTGCTTCTCCTATTCCCTTCCTCCCTCTTTTCCAAAACTAGTGCCGCTGACACAGTAGCCTCACTAACTCGACTTGTCTATCCATCCTGTAGAGGCCAGAAGGGTTTTGTCGGTTTGCTTTTCCATATAGCTTTCCTTTCTGTGTGGCTTCCCCTCCCAAAAACCGCTATTCTCAGTAGGAGTAAAAAAGCTGAAAAAGAAGATAACATTCCCAAAGGCGAAGAAGAGAGAGAAAGGGGGAAAGGGTCCTTGTGCGGTGGCAAGACGTTCCTGTTGGAAGTACCAATAAAATGGAGTTTTTACTATAAGGAAAAAAAAATACAATATCCACATTTTGTTATCGTGTGTTTTTTGGCGACGTCCACTTCTCGGTTGCAAAAGTGTCATCGCTCTCCTGGATTCCTGTCTGCATTATTTGCTCTTTTGTTTTCTTCGTTGTACTCCTACCTTGTGGTGCCTAAATAACCCTAAAGGCACCAGATCCCATCTGATCTTGGAAGCTAAGCAGGGTCAGTCCTAGTTAGTCCTTGGATGGGAGACCACCAATGGATACCAAGTACTATAGTCTGTATTTCAGAGGAAGGAACTGGCAAAACCATCTGCCTTAGAAAACCCTAGGAAATTCATGGGGTCGACATGCATCTTGAAGGTGCCTACACACATCCTAAAGGCACCAGATCCTGTCTGATTTTGGAAGCTAAGCAGGGTTAGTTCTTGTTCATATATAGATGGGAGATCACCGACAAATACCAGGTTCATTTAGGCAATATTTCAGAGGAAGAAAATAAGAGAGAGAAAGGAGCAGGGCAAGATCAACACTAGTGTAGAATTAAACTGGTAAGAATATTTAAAAAAAGAATTTCAAACATACAAGGAAAAATTAAAATAAAAGCCATTTAAAAGCAGGACAGGTAGATCTCTTAAGAAAAATAAAACTTTTTGGGGAAAAAGGTGCAAAGACAGGATCTTCCCACTAGAGGGGACTCGAAGAAAGCTGCAAAATGGCTCCATGGTTTGACTTTCTTTCCACAAACATTTACATTCTCCAACTACAGTCTGGACTAACCTCCTCCTCTCTCTTTCCTCTGTATGTCTTAGAAAAACAACAACCATGTCAAGAAACCTCAGTTTCATCTCTCTCTGTGGGTATGAAATGTTACCCATACATAGCAAAGCCAACTGGGTGCAATGGAGAAATGTAGTTGCATGGTTCGACTCTCATGCCCAACAGATGCAAGAGATGCACGACTGTCATCAGTGTTGAGTTTGGCTTGGAAAATGGTGGTTTTGTGGGTTTGGGGTTTGTTTGTTTTTTGGAGGGTCTTTCAACCGGTTGCTAAATGAGGACAAGTTGCAGAAGGAAAAGGATGTAGCCTTGGGAATGTAGGACTGTCCTGTTTTGCAGCAGTTTAACATGGGATCCAATTTGCAAGACAATTTGTCTGCAGTGATGGTCCAAAACACATTGCAGAAATAATCCAGTTTGAGACCACATTAACTGCCTTGGCTCAGTGCTTGGGAATCCTGTGATTTGGAGTTTATCATGGCACCAGAGCTCTTTAATCCAAGAAGGCTCAATGTCTCACAAAACTCCAGTTCCCCAAATTCGCTAGCATTGAACCAGGGCAGTTAAAGCGGTCTCAAACTGGATTATTTCTGCAGTGTGTTTTGGACTGATATGAACAAAGAAGGGGACAAAGACCATGGCTCTCTGTTTTATTGCGTCTTGGGCTACTGTTGGATCAGAAATATCTCTGTCTCTCCCAGCCTTGAGTGAACTGCATCTCTTAGAAGGACAGAGTTTGGAAAAGTAACTTTAAATTTTGTTTTTTGTTGTGGCTTCCAAAACACATCCCAGTGAGTGCTGGCCATTTTGATGGTCAAGTTTTGGACCTTGTGTGGCATGGTGGTTTGGGTGTTGGGCTACAAATCTGGAGACCAGGGTTCGATTCCCAGCTTGGCCTTAAAACCTACTGACCATGAGCCAGTCACACACTCTCAGCCTCAGTGGATGGCAATGGCAAACCACCTCTGAACGAAATCTGGCCAAGAAAACCCCATGATAGGTTTGCCTTAGGGTTGCTATAAGTCCGAAATGACAGCACACAACAAGAACAACCAAAACATTTGAACTTCTTCCAAGCACCACATAAGCACCTCGCCTCTATAAACTGGGACCAGTAGCTCATTTACTATAGAGTCGCCAACATTGTTCTTGTTGTGTGCCTTGAAGTCATTTCTGACTTATGGCAACCCTAAAGCAAAGCTATCCTGGGTTTTTCTTGGCAATGTTTGGTCAGAGGAGGTTTGCCATGACCTTCCCTTGAGGCTGGGAGATTGTGACTTGTGCAAGGTTGCACGGGGGGGGATTCGAACCCTGCTCTCCTGGAGTCTTAGTCCAATAGTCAATTCAATATAGCACACTAGTTCAGTAATATTGATGGGGTTCAGTTTTATCTAAGCCCTACCTGGAAATCCCAGGGATTGAACCTGTATGAGGTTATCATTACCAGCAAACAATGTCCCATCAATATACAAGGATTTCTTTTTCTTTGCAGCGTGATTTTTATGAAGCAAGTGTTTCTAGAATCCCTTTGCAACCTTTTGTACTGGACACACACATACGAAAAGGTGCGCCGACTCCCAGAAAGGATTAAAATAAATACCGCTCAAGGACTTAATCGCAAACAGTTAACTGCTCCTTGCTTTTCGGGAATATTTCTTTCCTGATAGGAGAAGAATTAGAGTAATTTATGGAGCAATGTGCTCCCGAAAACAGCTTGGCGAGAGGAAAGCTTTTCCAATTATTCACAGGCATTAGGGTTTCCTTTCTTCCCTTTCAAAATGACTTGTTTACACTCGGGGAGCACTTCTAAATTTTTAATAGAGAGGGAGAATTCCTTTAATTAGACCGAGTGACTTGTTTATGTCCAGGTTGTGGGTTGCTTAGTGTTGTAAAACAGAGGGATGGATATACTATCACTGCTATTTTGTCAGGGCCTCTTTTCTCTCCCCTGTAATTGCATTTAATGCTTGCATGAAAAGTCTTGTTTGACCACCTAAAGAAGACCAAAAACAAGCAAATTGCAAGGCTGGAGCAGGATAAGAAATAAGTAATATCCTTCCCCAAACTGGTTCCATTTATGTTGCATTTTTTTTCCAGGCTTTTGCTGACATCCTTTGCAAAAGCTGATAGAATAAAAAGCAAAATTCCCATGGCTTTAAGCAGATCTGGATTGCAGGACCTTATCAGGAAAGCGTGAGGGAGGTAGCCAAACTTTAAGCCCCAACACAAAGGTTTCATCCTCTTAACTTAAGGCATGACTTTTCACTTGGAGATAGGATATGGATGCCTTAATCATGGCCAATTTCAACTCCTACTGTATGGTCACAACTCACTTTGGGCAACTGTGGTGCCAACCTACAGTCTTATCATTTGGGTGTCTTTTTAAAAAGGGTGTTTTGGGTTTTGTTTTGTTTTTTGCATTTGCAATTATTTGCAATTTGCAATTACAATTTGCAGTTTGCAATTTGCAATTTGCAATTTGCAATTTGCAACTTGCAATTAAACATTCAGAACAATCAGGGCTTCACCGAAAGCTGCCCAAAACACCAAATCTAAAATTTTACAATTCCACATCTTGGTAATGCAAAATTACAAATGAGCCATTCTTTCCCCCAAATGAAGTGAAGGTTTTATCATCAACATGATATTTAAAATGTTCTTCAAGCACCCAACCTCTCCAATCCTGAATATTTGAGTTAAGCATTAATGTTTTAAAGCAAACATCTAAATGAACAGACAAATTGTGACACCCCAAAATTCATTTATGCACGAGTATCCTAATTTGTCACTGGGATTTATTTGCAATTTTTATTTAAGGGTTGCACCTTGGCTACTTTCTCATGATCTGAATTGCTTTTCTTTTCCAAAGAGGTGTGTTTGGAATCGCAGTGAAAGGATTGGGCAACTTCAAACTCTTAAGTATTAAAAGGCAAAGAGCTTAATTTCCTTTGGCGGCTGCTTGATCATAAATGAAACAGGAACAAAAGCTACATGTTAAATTCAAAAGACAGCGATGGGAGCAGATGTGTAGGAAACCTCAAACTGCAACTGATAAATCCAAGAGTTGCAAAATAATGTTGCTTAAAAAATTGGGGTTCAGACATCCGCAAGAAAGTTCTGTGCAAACCCCATTAAAATGAATAGTGTGTTTGCACAAGAAAATATCCTGTTAGATTGTATCCTGCAGGCACAAATTATTTTCCAAAAATCAAAACTATATAAATTGGACAGATCCTTAAAGCTCCCACTTAAATGCTTTTCTTATAAATTGTGGCACATCCTTATTCCCATTATGATAAACTGAAAACATCAACGGCAGCCATTCAAAATGATAAGTCCATGGTCAATATATATTGTACCTAAATATGTACTTTGACACTGTATTAATGAAGGCAATTTTTAAAATTAAAAACACCCACCCACCTTTTTTCCTACTGTGAGAATATTTTGGGGGGTATTATTTCAAATGCAATTTTTCTCTCTTGGTGGATTTTTTATTTGCCATTGATGAAATTTGTACTTCTGCTGATATAGGGAAAAGAATGGTAGGAAGTTTGGACAGATAGAAAAATAATGTTATCCTTATCTCACAGTATCTTCAATTTTGATTTTTATTAGAGCTGAAGGCAGCAGAGCTGGATTGGTTTCCTTCACTCTAAATTTTAATTTAAATAGAGGTAGAGTTTCCATTATGGATTTAAAAATGCAAGGCTCTTTTGGATGGATATTCTTGGGTACAAGAGTTTATGCACCTTTTAGGGTTTGGATAATTCAGAAGGTATTTCAAGATGCAGGTGGAAGAGAAACCACTGCATATAGACAATAACCCCTTTAAAAATAGCAATATTATTTTCACCTTTTAACTAACCAAATGTCAGATCCTCGATTGGTTAGATATTCTCATATCATACAACATTGCCAACTGATGTAGCTTTTTATATACGCCTTCTGTTTGCAAAACAGTGCTTTAAAGGGATGTTGGCAAAATGGACATTACAGAAAGGTTTTATTGGAAAGAATAGTATTTAGGTTTGCTCCAGTTTTAAATTGATCTGAAGCATCATCTTGCTGCAAAAGTAAAAAGCCAAACTTAACTATTCTAAAGGAAAGGAGGGAAGATCTCTCTTTCTCTCTCTCTGTTCATCTATTCCTTTCTAGCAGGCAAAATGCATTTTATTCTCTTTAACAAGCGTTGTCTGGATGGCAACAGCATCTGCCAGGAAAGAATAAGAATTTTAAAAAGGAAATTTCTGTTAAGGTATTTTTTTTCCCCACTGAGAGAGAGTACAAGGAGTGCAAAAGCTGATATAAAGAGACAAATGGATGCTTTGGGCAAAAATAAGGCGTAATAGATTGCTGGTCCATAGCGGCTGAAATATAAAAGTCAGAGGAGGAAAATATCTTCTTGATCGGAGCCAAGCAAAATATCCTGAGATGGTGAGCAAATTTTTTGAATTCTCAAAAACTCTCCATTAGGCTAAGTTCTTCAGCAAAATGTGCAGCAAGACCAGGAATTGTGTCATTAGTGTTTTTTCTCAGGTGTAAATGCAGTTGCACAAGTTGCTTTTTGTGACATTACACAAAGGTAGACAAGCAATGCACACGGCGCTCACAATCTTGCATCTCCTGGCCAATTTTTCCTGCAATGGTGCCATCCATCCAGCATAAATCCAAAGTGTAAATTGGTGGTACACAACCAGTAAAACAGGATTTCAAGTGTAGCAGAGGCATACTTCCCTCTCACACCTGGAGAAAGAAAACCAGGAAGGGATTTAAATGGGAGATGCAAGAAATGAATTCAAAATAAGCAAGTCATAACCAGGCTTGCCAGTTCAGAGGTATTTAGGGCTGTAGCTAAGTGAAAGGGGGCAAAATTGAAGGAACAAGGAAAAATGTTGCCCCTCCAAATGAAATTTTCCTCCAGTCTTCAAATTTCAAAGTAACTTAAAACTGCACTGAGTTTGAGTTTGGTATCCAAAGAAAAGGGGCAGAGAAAGTGACCAAGAGAAGCTAAACACAGCAAATAGAAGGGTTCTGGGTAGGAACAATTTTCAGAGCCTTAGGCTGCTGTACACTGCAAAATGAATGCAGCTTGGCACTGCTTTAAGAGGCCTGACTCCATCCTATGGAAATCTGGGATTTGTAGTTTGTTGTGGCACCAGGGCTCTCTGGCAGAGAAGGTTGACTATCTCACAAAACTACAAATCCCAGGTTTCCATCAAACTGAGCGACACATGGCAGTGAAAGCAGTGTCAAACTGCATTAATTCTGCAATGCAGATGCATTTTAAATTTCTTCAATGCTAGAGGGAAATTCTTGTCTTGCAGCAGTAGGAGCTTAAAATGGAATCATAGACATTGCATTTGGAGACGGCTGGCATGGTGTGGTGGGTTGAGTGTTAGACCTTCAAATGACCAAGAATTGAGTCCCTGCTCAGTTATGGAAACCCACGAGTTGATCTTGAGTAGGTCAAACTCTTTCAGCCTAGGAGGAAGGGCCATATTGGAGCCAACGTGGTACTGTGTTTTGATCGTTGGACTGTGACTCTGGAGACCAGGGTTCGAATCCCCACTCGACCATGGAAAACCATTGAGTGACTTTGAGTAAGTCACATGCTCTCAACCTCACAGGCTTTCTGATGAAGCTGTGGGGCAGGCAACCATGTGGTACCTTTTGGCAATGGGGAAGGATTTCCCAAATCTTCAAGGAAGCTCAGGCATAGCTCTACATGCCATATTGGTCCCTTTTGATCTTCTTTTAACATACCTCTATGCATTGCAAGAGGAGGCAGGGGGTGATCATCTGCCCAAGCCACGGGCAGACTTGGCACCGCCACCCATCAATAATAGATGCCCCCCTATTGAAATTTCCATTCTTCTTTTCTAGAGCCAACTTTTA